CTGACGAGCGATGGAAGCTCCAGAGTCTTTTTTTTCCTTCCTTTTTGAGCCGAAGGAGGCCGCAGAGTTTGGGGAGAGCCCGGAAATTGGTTTCGGCCCGCGACGAGATTATGTTTGATATCGGCCTGTTACGGAAAACGATTAAAAATGAAATCCATTCTTGCCTCACTCACTGCCGGCCTGGCCCATCAACTCTATGAGTATATCGTGTGCCTCCTGGCCCATCTGTACATGGGCCTGATGCCCGAGGTTATTAGGTCACCTCCAGTATAAATGTGCCGAGCAGGGTCTCCTCGTCCTCCCCCTACTCTTTCCCTCGCCGCCGCCGCCGCCTCCTTCTCCTCGGGTTTGCACAGTCGTCCACCATGGTGAGCTTCTCTCTTCCCCCGCCACGATGATATTTCCGGCGGTTGCCTCTTCCTTTCGTAGCGGATGCAGTTGCGTGGTGTGGTAACGAATCCTTTGTTGTTGCTCCGCAGCCGAAGCAGATCCACGAGATCAAGGACTTCCTGCTGACGGCGCGCCGGAAGGACGCGCGGTCGGTGCGGATCAAGAGGACCAAGGACGCCGTCAAGTTCAAGGTGCGCTGCTCCAGGTACCTCTACACGCTCTGCGTCTTCGACGCCGACAAGGCCAACAAGCTCAAGCAGTCCCTCCCACCAGGTTCGCCCTCGTGCCCCCGCCTCCTTCCCCATTTAGGTCTCGACCAGTTCGATTTGTGATGTTTAGCTGCTTACGGTACAAGATAAATTGGTGGAAGATCCCAGTATGCGTAGCGTGTTTCGTGTTCGATGCACCCCATGAGTAGGTACATTAGATGTGTTGCTCCACGCGAGTTCTGAATGGTTTGACGTATGCTTGTGCAAACGATTTGTTTGTGACATGGTATTGTGGAGGTGTTGATTTTATCTGGGATAATCTGCACTGCGAGCAATAAAAATCTCGGATAATCATAGACATCCTGCTATATGATGCAAGCTATTGACTTTCCAGCTAATCTGCTACTTTTACACAATTGCTTTGAGATAGATGCATCTTATTCGTTTGCCTATATTACTGCTGGACCCTCAGTGGTGACCAGTTCGCTATCAGTTATCTCTTACTCTGCAATGGCATTGCACTAGTTTAGTACTGCACAATTCAGTGTAGCACTTCGTCATGTTTATCTTGTCTTGTTAGTTATAATTTGCCCTCAGGTACAGTGATATTATAACTGCATAGTGCCAGCACAACTTCGTTAATATCATGAGGAACTGCTCAGTTCTGAGCCAGATTGTCCGTGACTAGGTCTGCACGAATTGTTTACATCGTCCTTGTTTTAGTCATGTTTCACTTAATACCAGCCATTATGATTTGTATCCAATATGTGCTCTACTGACATCAGTTTGTTATGCATAATATCCCATTTTGCAACCATTGTTATGCTTACTAACTAATTGTGATGCTCTCTTTGCAGGTTTGAGCGTCCAGGAGGTTTAAGCATCAAGCCAGACAATGCCTTTTCTAGTAGCGGGAATGTTCTATCCATCTTGCTTTAGTAACTGTTAGCAGGCTCTCCTTGTTTACCCCCATTAAGAGAGTTTTGATGTCCCAAGAATGGAATGTAATGTTGGGAGCTATGTGGTTGAACCTGTGAGGATTTTTGTGTTATTTTCACTTTTGCTGGAGAAGGAGATCAATTATCTTATCCTAAATTGGTTTAGTATCTCACTATTTTCCTGAATGTTCTGCATTTTCTTCAGGCATGGCCCATGGTTGGCCACTCTTAAGCTTAATAACTCAAATCAGTAACATTTAGAAAGGGTTGTAGGTAAAACTCGTGTGCAAAGGTGGACATTGTATATGCAACTTATGAGGTGATAGATCGATGGGCTGCAACGGCAGCAAAGTGCTTCAAGAGTGTTCCATTGTGTGCGGTGGACAACGGAAGCAATTTCGGAGGCACACCCATCCTATCTATTCGTCATAGCTTCGTTTCTTTCTTTCCTGGTCATGAAGAGCTAGTTCCTATTGATCCGCCGGCATCATTGGCGGTGGCTTGATGTTCATAGGTTTAGGGTTACCCGAGCATCCGTCCAGCCAGATAGCCCATTCTTCATTCAGATTCAGTTTTCTTTTCGTGTTAATTTCGTTTTCTTTCGGCGAAGATCCCAGCAGAGAGGTGTTGAATCTCCCTCGTTGAAGCTTGTCTAGTAGTCTTAAGAACATCAGCTAATTGTCCGATGTAAAACATTGTAGTTCTGTCACGAGCGACGATTCAGGCAGCCTCTTTACCATTACAGTGGCATTGGAGGTGTTGCGTTGCTGGGAGAGTAAACCTTTTGCTCTTCAGATTAGCCGAGGGGGAGGCTCCTGCTTCCCTCCCTGAAGCTTGTCTAGTAGTCTTAAGAACATTATTATTAGTATGTTTCTCATACCCAATTTATTTTTGACCTTCTTAATTTTTGGTTGGCGATCCATGAAAACAAATGATGATAGCTAGACAGGGACATCAGAACCTTGAATTTCAGGGTTATGACAGACTACGTCTATAATGGGAATCTCTCTGATGTTTTTGGTTCCAAGTTAAATTGTTCTGGTTTTCTCCTTTTCAATCATTCTATTTTGGAAGACGGTTCTCTTTCTCGTTTGCAATTCTGATATTGGATAACAATGCAAGGCTTAGGTTTGGCCTCCTCAAACATTGTGTGTACAGCTAGATCCAATGACATATAAAGCAGTTACACAATTGGCAACTGAAGCTATACAGGAATAATGAACATCTTTAACTAACCCAAGGCTTCCAGATGGCCCTTTCTGAATCGAATGGAAGCAAAACAAATGATTTAAAAAAAACAGTTAAATGTACTATGATTAAATGGAGCCCTTATGAACATATTTGACTGATCATATTCGTTTACCAGGACTCCGAATGTCAGTTCAATATGTGAAACAAATCATTAAACGGTCCTTATTGTTTGTTTGCAACTGAAGCTTGAGTTTCTGAAAAATACCTATCTGCACATCAATGCAAATGTTTCGAGGGACAATTTTTTTTTAAGATTTTGTTAATCATTTTTACTGGATATAATGCTTAAAGCTGCCCGCTGATGATCAAACTAATACTTTCGTTCTTCTGATGTGCCATATTGTGCCGTTGTGCTAAAGCAATTTGGAGACCTGAGCTGAGGAAATGCTTGATAATACCAACTTCTTATCTTTGTCGTGTCTGCTTCTGGCTTCTGGGCTGGATGGAATGGGTGGTAGGTTTGATTAACACCAACTTCTTGATCTTTGTCGTGTCTGCTTCTGGGCTGGATGAAATGGGTGGTAGGTTTGATTATGTATGGCGGAGAGAAACAATGCATTGATAATACTCCCTCCGTTCCTAAGTATAAGTCTTTGTAGAGATTTCACTATGGACACATATAGAGCAAAATGAATGTATCTACACTTTAAAATGCACTTACAGGAACGGAGGGAGTAGCTAGTATGATTGCCATATGAGTAGTAGGTGTTTCTTTTTTTTAGAGTAGTAGGTGTTTCTTATGGACCCTAATAGGGAGCAAACAGATGCAACATCAAAGAGAGTTGCCATGGTCTGGCGATGTTATCAGCAAAAAACGAAGCTGCAATGTGTTCACGGATTACCACATCGAAACACAGAAGAATTGCCACGCCGAGAATTGTCATACTATATAATAGAAAATTACCTGCATGTTTAAGAATTTCCATGCTGCCATTCTAGAGTAGAGGAAGTTGCCACACATGTCGATGCAAAAGGTTAGAAGGCTGGCCCATATAGCATCGACGAGAAAGGTGGGGGTGTGCGCCCATGTAGGTGTTTCTTTTTTCATATGTTTTTTTCCGGACCGGTTTTATTTTTTTATTTTTTTGCTTTTTATTTTGTTTTCTTTACATTTTAATTTTCTCAAAAGGTGTGAACTTTTTTCAAATTCGATGAACTTTTTTTGAAAATCCATGAACTTTTCTTCAATTTTGATGAACGTTTTTCAAATTCGATGAACTTTCATTTCGAATTTGATGAACTTTTTTTCACACTCGATGAACTATTTTCAAGTCAATGAACTTTTTTTGAAAATTCATGAACGTTTTTCAATTTTGATGAATGCTTTTCAAATTCGATGAACGGTTTTCAAATTTGATGATTTTTTTCAAACTCGATAAACTTTTTTCAATTTTGATGAATATTTTTCAAATTCCATGAACTTTTTTCAAATTTGGTAAACTTTTCTTCAAATTCGACAAACTTTTTTTCAAATTCTATGAACTATTTCAAGTTTTATGATATCTTTGGAAATCCATTATTTTTTCAAATTTGATGTATTTTTTTCAAATTTGATGATTTTTCTTTTCAAAGCCCATGATACTTTTTTTTTCAAATTTGATGAACTTTTTTTTGAAAATCAATGGAACTTTTTCAGGTTTGTGAACTTATTTCAAAATCCATGAACTTTTACAAAGTCACGTTTTTTCCAAATAATTCAAAAATAATTGAGCGATGGTTTTGTGCCATTAAATAGTGCTGCGACTGTGTTTATCACGCATTTGTCGCTGATACAGATCACTAACGTTTGGTAGCTCGAGTGCCTAGTGGGACTCACGGTGAGCTCGAAGTGCATGACTTCGAGACCTTTAGAGGAGGAGTGCTTTTGCGGTTTATGCGTTAGCTGTGTGTGCGTTTTTTTGGGCCGGCCCAACTAAGCAGCTTAGCGAGCGCCAGGGAGGAGTTCGGGCGCCTGAAGCGCCCGATAGGAGGGGAGCTACCAAAAAAAAGGTACTACCAAAAAAAAGGTCGATGCCGCTGAGCGTCACGAACCCCGGAAGCCAATCCCGAACTCGCCGTCGACACTGAGCTCGGGCGTCCTTCGACCTTCTCTTCCCCAATCCCCTTGGCCCGCGCCCTGCCCCCCTCCATTCCCTCTCGCGCCTCCAGCACCGCCCCTCTGGCCCTGGCTCCGTCGCCTCCGCTGGCCTTCGCATTCCCCTCGCCGACGGCCATGATTGACTGCCCGCGGCTGCTTCTTGCTGCCGCGAGCTCCGCCCCCGGCCCCTCGTCCGCCGCTTGCCGGAGGTTCGCCACCGGGTGCCCTCCCTTCTCCCTTTCATGCCGCGGCCGCCTTTCTTCTTTCCCTGGTGAGCTCCTCCTCTCATACTCCTCTGCAAGTACGCATCCGTGAGCTATTCAACTGCTGACTCTTATCTTAGATAAAAGTGTTCCTGTGTAAGATGTCAAAGTATACCTACGCCAAGTATGTACTTATATGTTTGTATGGGCGCGAGGGTTTTAAAGCTGACGCTCCTAGTTTGGCTAAAGAAAAATCGGGTGTTCATGCTTTAGTTTTCTTATATCCTGTGGATGGGACGATGACAGACTTGGATCACCACAGTGCAATCTGCATCCTCTGGGGCGGGGAGCCAGTCGAGCGTCGTGGATGAGCCGGAGGCCGTCGAATGGGCCATGCAGGGTAATCTATTTGCTCACCTTCTGGATTTCTTTCAGTGGGTAATGGTTAGGCCTGTGTTTTTGTCCCTCGCTGGGTTGTAATTGTTATCCATATGACTGGAAGTTGGGTACAGACTTCTACGCTTTGCGCAAGGATGTTGAGTTGGCCGTAGAGCGTGTCAATGAAGTCAGGCAGGATGCTGGACTGGAACAGCTTCTGGAGGAAATCGCTTCACTGGAGAACAAGTCTGGAGATAGCACCTTGTGGGATGATCCTTCCAAGGCACAGGAGTTGCTTGTTGCTCTCACAGAGCTCAAAGAGAAAGTCAAACTTCTTAACGATTTCAAGTCGCAGGTCTGACTCCATGGCATTCTTATGCATCCAGCACCTTAAATGATATATCTTGCAAAACTTTAGTCATGTTATATCTGTATATTAGTTTGCACGTCATGTATAATATTTATATAATGGTAATAATAGTTTAGGAAAAAAGATACACGTTTGCTTGGCATATCCATATAGATGATATAAATTTGTGGAACAAGCATGACAATAAGTTTTTTTTTCTTTTGAAAAGGAGGTTAAAAACCCCTGGCCTCGGCATCATTGTGATGCACACAGCCAATATTATTAATTATTAAGGAGAGTACAAAACAAAGACAATCACGGCCAAGCCATTACAAGAGAGATAAATAAAACGCCTATGACTAAGTCGACTTCTTCGGGACCAACGCCTTCAGGAAGGGGTACCGTTGCCATATCTGGCTGAGCATGGCAATAAGTGGTCATCAACAATAGTTCTTGATTATGGTCTTTCCTACATTCAGGTTGAAGAAGCGGATACCATTGTGCAGCTTACAGAGGAGTTAGACTCCATAGACACAGGCCTTCTTGAGGAGGCATCAAAGATCATAAAGGCATTGAATAAGGCACTAGATAATTTTGAAATGGCACGGCTTCTTTCTGGGCCTTATGACAAGGAAGGAGCTGTAATTACTATCTCTGCAGGCGCTGGTGGCACCGACGCCCAGGTATTTGCTCACTCCATTTTCAGGCTTTAACCTGACCTCTTTAGACCAGCAGAAGTTGTACTTTAGAGTTTAATTTACTTTCCGTTAGGCAGCATGACACTGCTTGTTATTTAAGCTTGGACTGTTTTTCTGTTGCTTTGGTATTTGGGTTTTATGAATCTTATGTACTCCCTCCGTAAAGAAATATAAGAGCGTTTAGATCACCAAAGTAGTGATCTAAACGCTCTTATATTTCTTTACAGAGGGAGTATTAGTCATTTGGTACTGTTGCTTCAGAAGAAATTTGATCTTATACTACTGCTAATTCTCTTTGCTACCCGGTCATAGTTTGCTAACGTATATGCAATTACTTGTATGAATTTTTGAATTGTATCACCATAAAAGGCTGCTCTTCAGACTCCGGTGAGTAACAAACTAGTCCAGCTATGGATCCGGAACTGCACAAACTTCGACTATATGACTCCTAGTTGTTGTCATCAATAGAAAGCAAGCGAGCCTGAGCGCTGAAAGTCCTCGTCCATGATGATGGCCTTTAATCCATATTGTACATAACTGACCTGTAACCTATCTATGTATATGTAGTTATACTCTAATCTCACATTCTCACTTCAGAATGACAACAAGTGATGCTTGGCATTTCCTCCGAGAAAGCACGTGCTATGGATAAACAGTTGTGATTGCATTCTTTTAAACCTGGCTTGATCTTTGCAGGATTGGGCTGACATGTTGCTCAGGATGTATGTGAGGTGGGGAGAGAAGCAGCGCTACAAGTCAAGAGTGGTAGAGAAATCCCCTGGCGAGGAGGCTGGAATAAAATCAGCAACAGTTGAATTAGAGGGAAGATATGCCTATGGGTATCTCTCAGGAGAGAAAGGGACACACAGGATCGTCCGCCAGTCTCCATTCAACGCTAAAGGCCTTCGACAGGTATCTTCATTTTGCAGTCCTCCTTTTCTGTTTGTTATCCATATACTTGCAAGCTGAAGATAAAACACATATAATAGGTTCTTTCTAAAAGTTTGCGTGATGTGCTAATTTTTGCAGACCAGCTTTGCTGGTGTTGAGGTCATGCCTCTTTTACCAGAGGAATCCTTGGATGTAGAAATTCCTGAAGAGGATCTGGACATAAGTTTTACGAGAGCTGGAGGTAAAGGAGGCCAGAATGTGAACAAAGTGGAGACTGCTGTTCGCATGGTCCATATCCCCACTGGCATTGCCGTCCGTTGTGCAGGTATTAATTACTGAGAACAGCTTGCATCACACCTATTTATTCAACTACCCAACCTGTAATGTATGGGTAGACATGGGATCTCACTCATCTCAGGTTGACAAATAAGCACACCAAGTGCAGGAATAAATTCGTGGTGATTGAAATTTGATGTGAAAATTTGAATGATGCTCTCCTGAAACTAGCTGAACCTCCTGGTCCGGGGTCCTGGCATAGTTGATAGGCAATATCTTGCAGCTTTTCCCATTGATAAGTTCAGCTTGTCACAGAATAGGTCATTTATGATCTTACATGTACTAGCTATTTAAGAATTTCACTCGAAGTATTTCTGAATCAAGAACCGGAGTTAACTGAGTGTTGTGGAGAATGAAGCTGACATTTGAGTTATCGTGTCTAACTTTGCAGAGGAGAGGAGTCAGCTGGCTAACAAGATAAAGGCCCTAAGACGGCTGAAGGCAAAGCTTCTGGTGATCGCCGAGGAGCAGCGTGCGTCGGAGATCAAGCAGATCCGTGGTGATGCGGTGAAGGCGGAGTGGGGGCAACAGATACGCAATTATGTCTTCCACCCCTATAAGCTCGTCAAGGACGTCCGGACGGCATGCGAGACGTCGGACATCAGCGGTGTGATGGATGGCGAGCTGGATCCCTTCATCAAAGCCTACCTTCAGTATAAGCTCTCTGCTGCTGCCGAGGAGCACAGCGTCAAATGATGCTGACATCGACAATCCAAGGTAGCAGTATGGAATTTTGATGCGCTCGTCATCGTTGGCTCTGGCTGATTGAGCCGCCCTAGTGAAGGTATGCAGTTTTACAGAGGCTTTTGCAGTTTTTGTAGTCTTTGTGTCCAGTGCCTCTAAAGGTGCTGGATATGAAAAACAGCCAAGTGATGAATTTAAGTTGAAGGTTGTGACTAGTGAAACAGCTCGACGGGAGTTTTTAACTGTTGGAACCAGAAGCCACAAAGGCATGATGGTTGAAGCATTGGTCTCGTAACACATGAAGGGTGCCTTGTGTACTGTACTACTGGTGCTTCTTTCACCATTTGATTTTTGCCTATGATGAATTCCTGAGTAAGCTGAACCGTAACAAACTGAAGTCGACGGTGGTTTGTCCGTTGAATTTGTGTCCATGGGAATATTGAGCATAGATACCTGGGGAGTAAGTATGCTGGAGAAATATTGTGTGTAGGATTTTTCTGCTGGAGGTTTTAAAATTTTGATGATCGATCCCTTCTTATTTTTCTTTTGAGGCCAATTAGTTGCCTCTCTTTAGCTAGATTGGGCTGCAACTCGGTTAGGAAAAGCCGACAAGCTATTAGGCCCAACTTGCTATCTCGTATGTGCGAGTTTGGACTTCTAGGAGCGAAAGGCGGGCCCCATGGCCATGGTCATGTATGTTTTTTTTTTAAATGGAGGCGTACCCCCGGCCTCTGCATCGTAATGATGCATGTAACCATCTTATTAAAAGATCCACGAAGTATTACAAAGTCATAAAAGTATTACAGCTCGCAAGTGGAGCGAAACTAGAAAAAGAAAACAATGCTGACGATCACAACCGATACTGCAATGTGAAGGATAGCCTCCCTAAACTCCTATCCTGTTATGCGACCGCTATCCGAACCGGTTGAATAAAGCCCGTGCTACCATTTTCCACTGGTTGCACCCAGTAACCAAAGGCTCCTTGGAGTCCGTAGGAGTGAGTAAGGACCACGTATGGATCCAAGCGGTAGCTCTAAAGATGACCTGCAAGAAAAAAGATAAAAGTGTGTTGTCTGTTAAAAATCAAATCATTCCGACAGTTTCATATAGTCCATAAAAACGCACATATTTCAATCCGAATATGAGCCGCAGTAGTATGCTCAACCCCAACTAACCACGTTCCAAACAACGACTCAGTGTCAACTGGAGGATTGATGTTGAAGGCTATATGAATCGTTCTCCACAGCAATTTGGCGAGTGGGCAATCAAAGAATAAATGTTGTATTGCTTCATCATGATCACAAAAACAACAACGTGAACTGCCTATCCATCGCCTCTTGATTAAGTTGTCTTTGATGAGTATTACTTGCTCGTGGACGAATCACATAAAAAAATTTATACGCAAAGGCACCTTAACCCTTCAAATATGCAATGATCGTGAGATTGGGCCAGAGTTAATTAAATTCAAATAGAAGGATTTGACCGTAAAAACCCCATTTTTAGTTAATTTCCGTTGAGTCGAATCCGGGTGGTCGAAGAGTTGAACATCGATCAATCTCCGAACCAAGTGCATCCAGGCATTCCATCGCTCACCGACTAACGCGCGTCTAAACTGAATATTCAAGAGAATCGTTTGGAACACTGTGCCAACGTAATCCTCTTTACGTTGCACAATGTTATAAAGGGTGGGATATTGTATATTTGGGTTGAAAGTTTTTTTTTTTGGGTGAAAATTTGGTGTTGAAAGTTGAACGGTAGAAAGTTACTAGCAACATAGCCGGAAGGAGTTGAAAGTTGGTTTTATTTGAGTTTAGAAAGTTGCAGCCCTGAAGTTGAAATCTTTGCCTTTTCCTTTCAAGTTTGATTTTTTTTTTTTAGAAAAGCTGTGCCACTGCCAGAAGTGTCACACCACCCATCCTGGCCCACCCCAATACCCCACTAACCAGAGTAGCAGGGGCAGGGGGTGCTTTACTTCCACGTAATCCTTCTTGTACTGCTGCCACGTTTCCCTATATGAAAGAAATATTACTACTCCTACCACGTGAGCAGTAATCGTAAAGTGAAGAGAGGGGTCATGTATGTTTTTTTTTTAAATGGAGGCGTACCCCCGGCCTCTGCATCGTAATGATGCATGTAACCATCTTATTAAAAGATCCACGAAGTATTACAAAGTCATAAAAGTATTACAGCTCGCAAGTGGAGCGAAACTAGAAAAAGAAAACAATGCTGACGATCACAACCGATACTGCAATGTGAAGGATAGCCTCCCTAAACTCCTATCCTGTTATGCGACCGCTATCCGAACCGGTTGAATAAAGCCCGTGCTACCATTTTCCACTGGTTGCACCCAGTAACCAAAGGCTCCTTGGAGTCCGTAGGAGTGAGTAAGGACCACGTATGGATCCAAGCGGTAGCTCTAAAGATGACCTGCAAGAAAAAAGATAAAAGTGTGTTGTCTGTTAAAAATCAAATCATTCCGACAGTTTCATATAGTCCATAAAAACGCACATATTTCAATCCGAATATGAGCCGCAGTAGTATGCTCAACCCCAACTAACCACGTTCCAAACAACGACTCAGTGTCAACTGGAGGATTGATGTTGAAGGCTATATGAATCGTTCTCCACAGCAATTTGGCGAGTGGGCAATCAAAGAATAAATGTTGTATTGCTTCATCATGATCACAAAAACAACAACGTGAACTGCCTATCCATCGCCTCTTGATTAAGTTGTCTTTGATGAGTATTACTTGCTCGTGGACGAATCACATAAAAAAATTTATACGCAAAGGCACCTTAACCCTTCAAATATGCAATGATCGTGAGATTGGGCCAGAGTTAATTAAATTCAAATAGAAGGATTTGACCGTAAAAACCCCATTTTTAGTTAATTTCCGTTGAGTCGAATCCGGGTGGTCGAAGAGTTGAACATCGATCAATCTCCGAACCAAGTGCATCCAGGCATTCCATCGCTCACCGACTAACGCGCGTCTAAACTGAATATTCAAGAGAATCGTTTGGAACACTGTGCCAACGTAATCCTCTTTACGTTGCACAATGTTATAAAGGGTGGGATATTGTATATTTGGGTTGAAAGTTTTTTTTTTTGGGTGAAAATTTGGTGTTGAAAGTTGAACGGTAGAAAGTTACTAGCAACATAGCCGGAAGGAGTTGAAAGTTGGTTTTATTTGAGTTTAGAAAGTTGCAGCCCTGAAGTTGAAATCTTTGCCTTTTCCTTTCAAGTTTGATTTTTTTTTTTAGAAAAGCTGTGCCACTGCCAGAAGTGTCACACCACCCATCCTGGCCCACCCCAATACCCCACTAACCAGAGTAGCAGGGGCAGGGGGTGCTTTACTTCCACGTAATCCTTCTTGTACTGCTGCCACGTTTCCCTATATGAAAGAAATATTACTACTCCTACCACGTGAGCAGTAATCGTAAAGTGAAGAGAGGGGAAAAGGTTAATTAACGGCGACACCATGATTCAAAGCAGAAAGGAGGCAGGGAGGGCCATCCTGCTTTGCTTTGCTTTGCTTCGGGGATGACGCAAAACTGCGACCCCTCCCTCCCTTCCCTCCCCTGGTGTAGTCATTAGTCAACCTAAACATTCAAAATATTCCACAACAGTACCAGATCCAGCTTTCCGCCCAATGGCCCATTCTCGCGAAAGCATCTGTCCCATTTTTGCCCATCACACACGGTCGACTTGGCACGCCGATCAGACAAGGAAAAATTAGCATCCATCCATCCATCCATGAGGGACCATTATCCAATCCAAGCGCTCGAAAACCCACCCTCTCGGCTAACAAAAGTCGAGTTTTGGTGCCGGCGAGACGCCGTGTTTGCCAAAATGCCGAGTGCCCATGTCTAGTAGGAGTAATAGCGATGCAGAACCTTCAAATCTCTATGATTGCTAGCCAGAGATTAGGAGCATAGCAAACACCAAAATGCTTTTCTGAATCAAGGACCACGCGGCGTACAGCACCTTTAATCTGCTACTATACCCACACCGATCTTACTGAATCCATCTCATCTATTCGGAGTCCTCGTTTTACAACGCAGTACAATACCACTGGTCATATTCTTACAGATGTATGCTTGCATGAAGAGGTAATAGCACCCCAGGTACCCTAACTTACATACAATGTGATGATTTAGTCCCAAAGTTGTAAAACTAGACCAAACCATACCTCAACTTGCATCCAATGTGATGTTTTAGTCCCAGGCCAATCACAGCTCGGCAATTGGCTGCCAAGTGGCTGGGCCGGTCAGCGCGCGCATTTTTTCACAAAACCCTCTGCCGTTTCCCCGGTCCGACCACTCGCTGCCCACCACGCAGCGCCTCGCTGCCCGCGTCCTCCGCGCAAAGGGCCGCCGCCCAGCAGTGCAAGCCCGCGCTGCAGTTCGCCTACACCCAGAGCTTCCAGTACGGCCAGGCAATGGCGCATTAAGCAGATTGCTTTGCAAGCTCGTGAAGAAGGAGAAGATTCAGGTCTCAGGTGAGATCGATGGGTAAGATGGCTCGCAACACGATTATATCTGGGAATTTAGAATTGTAGTTTACCCTGCTGCTTTCTTTTCTTTTTTGTGGGTGGATCTGATGTCTCTACATATAATAGATACCGAGTTGTATGCTGGTGGCTCCTCTACGGCCGGACCAGCGCAGCCGTTCGTCTCCTCCATGCCTGCCCCAGCGCCGCCGTCTACCTCCACTATGGCCGTCAAGGTCTGGCACTCTGGCTGCAAGAAGAAGATTGCTGCTGTGCAAGAAGACCGATGGGTTCAGTTTCAGAGTTTGAGTTCAGTACTTGAGCCTGCACTTTCAGTTGGATCAGCAAGAACAGTGCAGAAACGATGGATGAAACTGAAGCTCCTGGTTTTGTTGCTGTTAAATTTAGGAGCTATGGTCAGTTGATGTATATTGTTTTCAATCAAAGTTCCTTCATGTATACATGTTCATAGCATTGTGAGGGGTGTTTAGTATATAGGAACAGAGACTCTGACTGAATTGCC